ATACAGAGAGGCCCTCCAGGACTTGCAGCGTGGGGATGATGCAAGACCCCCCTGTACAAGCCCAGGGGAGATAGGTGACAACCAACCAGGGGGTAACACCCACCTCCAAAGCAGGAAAGTTGCCTTTTAAGGCAACAAACGGACAATGGATGAATATTCAACAACTGATATCGAGAGGGTACAAAAAGCACGGTTTTCAAACAATGTGTGTGTGTCTCGGGCGGGGCACTTGCCCCCCAGACCACCCAGCGCTGTTTGCTTTATTATCGCTTGCTTAATAAATTTATCAACTTTTAATTGGAACTGAGTTGTCTAAATTCTTAAACTAACTTATAACAAAACCACATGGCTTGATACATATATAAAACACACCTTGCAGGCTGGAGAGTCCGGAGATGGATTATTGTAGCCACACCAAGGGAAATTTCCGTGTGACTCATAAACAGCCAGATAAGTAATGAGCATCTGCTAACAAAGCTCTGAATTACAGGATCTCAGTGTTGGCATTGAGCGGGATATTCCCAAAAAGAGCTTTAAGGGTGTACAGCATGGGCTGTGAAGTATGTTAATACTTGGAGATTAAGTGCTTGGTCAATATCTATATATATATATACACATATATATATAGATTAAGCAATTAACAAGTAAAAAGAGCATGAAAAGAAACAAACAGAAGAAGGTGACAGGATAGAATATAATATGTGAGAGGCTGCATGATCCCAAGAGCCGGAACTCATTAAATGTGTGTAAATAGAAACTGTCCCTTGGAGTTCACACTGCTGGAATAAAGAAGGTAGAAGAAAACAACATCTCAAACCTTTGCAATTCCCGCATTAGTCCTATGGGAAAGCTTTAAACTTAACACCGTGGCTTAATGCTCTCTTTTCAGCCCTGTTTTGGCTTTTCAAAGAGATGCTGTCAGGCTAATCCTCTTATGCTTACCCTTAGCATATTAACATGAAAGAGACAAGTGAAACGCAAAGCAGAGTGAGGTCCCTTTGCTGGCATGCAGAGATTGGTGGAACCATGGCTGCTTATCAGAGCAGCTGGTGTTTTTTTTTTTTTTGCTTTTGCCCCTAAATCTGATTGTATACACAGCTGCACTGTTGCCTGTGCCAGGATAAGGCTTCCTGGGCTATAAAAAGAGTACTTTCTTGGGACAGGATTCCAAAATACCTTACAGGGTATGTGCAAAAAGTCACTTGTTCCCTAAGAGACTGCAGCCAATATGGTGAAGGAATAAGGCCCCGGGCAGTCTTATTTTGCATCCTCACTTAGCTCATGCCACCTCAGGATATCCCCATTATTTGATTGTTATTTATGCTGCAGTTTCCAGCAGTCACTTGCAAAGGGTGACTGCTCCCGGTCTTCCATTTAGAGGCAGGAGAAATTCTGACAGGGGGATGTAGTAAAATGAAGGATTTTGTGGAAGCTCTGCTCTAGTTTGGGTCTGGTATCAGACAGGTTTAAAAACTAACAACATGCCCCTTCAAATTGTGTCTGGGTCTTCAAACAGGAATTATTATGCTGAGAGATAACAAAAGACCTTCCAGGAGAAAACAACATCCTGAGCAATGAGAAGTCACGACAATCAGTGACTGAAGATGGGAGGCTGAATCTCCTGCAGCATCTGAAAAAAAAATCTCTCAACACAGTGGTTTGTAAGACAGCATTTCTTTATTATCTGCACTGTTTGCACACTAAGAAAACATGCTTAAGGTTGTACATTAAAAGAACCTGATAGTTCTTGCCATTGCAATATGACAGCACTGATCAAGGTACTACACAGACTGCCTGTATTTGTGTGTCAGCTGTAATTTCATGCCTTTGTCTTTGATGTGCTCTATACAGAGTGTGGCAGGCGCACTTTCAGAACATTAGCTACTGCTCTCTTCCTTCTGCAGCAGCTTCCCAAATCCTGCTGCTGCAGGTAAGCAACTGTTAGCATTACTGATGTGCCACAACCAAAGACACCAGTTCTTGGCCAGCCACTCCATGTTAACCAGCACCTGGAGCTCCCCTAACACAGGTGGTGATGCCTGTTCAACGGGTGATAATGCCTGTGCTCCTTCATGCCCATGCTGGTTAGAAAGTCACATCTATATCCAGATTAGAGGTGTTTTCTGAAAACAGAGATGGTTTCTCTTCCCACATATTGTTTCCTGCAAACACAAGGAGTCCCACTGGCAGCAGTGCTGGTGTTACTCTAGGCTCCACAACAGCTACCCTGGTTCTGGACCTTTTCTAGCTTTCTGCTTCCTAATTTCTGGAAGGCATTACTGCAGTTAAACACACTGTGAGCCACAGCCAGCCAACAGTAAGGAGTGAGCAGGAGTTTATTACATTGGGCTATTCTTTTTACTCAGAAATCCTGCTCTTGCAGAGAAAAATTTCCTCTTTCCTATCAGGAGTAAAGGGCACCAGGAGGAACCATGGAAATTCTTTGTAACTTTCACACTGATGGTCTGTAAGTGACTCAGAGCACTTTTCCTGCATGGGATATTCCCAGAGAAATTTGTGCAATAAATAGACATTCAGAGTAACCGCCTTATCCCAAGGGAGGAAGCTATGCCAACGGGCACATGGCTGGGGCCAGTTCCTACCTCAGCCCTCGCCTCCCCTCGCTCTGCTTTGCCCCACTCCTGAGTGACAAGAAGGTCCCTTCCCAACGGGATCAGGTTCAGTTCAGCTCTTTCTCAGGCCCTGCACCAGGAAAGTGAGGTTGTTGCGCAAAGTCACTGCAAGAGAAAAAGGTGCATTTGACACAGGCAGCTGCCTTGTGCTTCCAGCCCAGGTAGATCTGAAAGCACTGCGGTAAAGGCAGTTCCAGGTTGCCGGATATTCTTCAGGAAAAGATAGGAGAATGGGAGGAAACAGGCAGCGTTCAGCCTTAAAACAGGCTATATACGGCTTCCCTAGTTTGTACAGCTCTGGCAATGGGTTATGAATCAGCAACACATGTCAGCGCCTGTGAGTCCCAGGGCAACTGCTCTGTGTTCTGTAAACAGTAGGAGAGGGACAGTGACAAGGTTCATTAGGGTAACAATGAGATGAAAGCCACTGGGGTGACTCATTCTATCAGTTCATACCAAATTCACACATGGAATTGGTTGACTACAATATTGACAAGCCCATCTTTACTTCAGAGTAAATACAGGGTCGTATCCGGATCTTAAGGGAGTGGTGGAAGTGTTCTCACTTACCACAGCAGGATCTCAGCTGGGCGTTACTGTCACAGAGCCAAGAGGAGATGCTGTTCTCCAAGATGGATGGATCACTATTTAAAGAAACTTAAATTTGGGCTAACTCTATCTCTTACACTAAAATTCTATTTAAGACAGCAACCACTGTGTCCTCCACTCTCTGCTGCTAGGCCAGTTCTTTACTAGAGGGAAAAGGAATAAGACTTCATCCCTTTACAGGGAAGCAAACTCTCCAGACAGAAGGCTGAGTTTGTCCTATTAGCCAAGACCAGCCAAATTCCCCCAAAGAAGCAGATGCCTCCAGAGACCAGGGCTGCATGCAGAGTTGGGAAATGGAACAGTGCAGGTAATATGCACATTTTGGCCTGATTTAGTGCCTCAAAATTCACAGACTGGGAAAAGCTTCAGCTTCCCCAAATCTCTGCAGAGCTGATAGCATCAGATTCAGCTTGCTTGAAAGGAACTCCCAGCTTCATGATACAGTGCTGGCACATGTCTCTTGCTGACACATTGATGTGCCTTATGTGCAGCACCCTTTCCTCCTGCCCATATCTTCCAGCTGCAGGGCATTCTCCCTCTGCCTGTCTTCTTGTGCTGTCAGCAACCTGGAAAGAGCAGCACAGACCAAGAACACAACCTGGTTACTGAGATCTCCCTGCCAAGGCATTTGCCTCTGCCCTTTGCTCCCCACCAGCCACTTAGGATTGTAAGAAG